CACTATAAATCGGCAAAATGGAATGACCTAAAACAGTATTACCTGGATTTTCCATGGCAAGAGGTTTGCTTTAAAACAGCTGATCCCACTATTTGCTGTAATGAAATAACACAAGTAATCTTATCTGGAATGGACGCATATATCCCACATACAACTAAACGTAGAGCTAATGCAAAACCTTGGTTCAACAGCCACTGTCAAACGGCTGTACAGAAAAAACACAGAGCATATAACCTTTGGAAACGACAACAAACCGCTCAAAACCACACAGAATTTATAGAAGCCAGAAATAGTTGCAAAATTACTATTGACTCCGCTAAAGAAACATACAATCAAAGAATAAAAAACAGGTTGCTGAATTGTCCAAGTAGTTCTAGGTCTTTTTGGTCTCTTGCAAAAGCTGTTGGATCTAACTTCACCAAGTCATCCATACCACCACTTACAGATAAAAATAATCACTTAGCCACAACATCAGAGGAAAAAGCCAATATGCTTGCCCAAATGTTTTCCTCCAACTCCAACCTAACAGTGCCAAACGGAAAAACTCCACCGTTCATTGAAAGGGTTTTCCATAGTATGCCAGAGGTTCCCTTTTGTCACAGAGAAATACGAAAATCCCTAAAAAAGCTGGATACAAACAAAGCAATGGGTCCGGATGGCATTCCCGCAATAGTACTCAAAAATTGCGCCAACGAACTCACCCCAACTTTCGCAAAATTATTCAATTTGTCTTACAGGCAAGGAGTATATCCATCATCATGGAAGTCTGCCGCAGTACAACCCATTCCAAAGAAAGGAAAAAAGACAGATCCGTTAAACTATAGACCAATTGCTCTACTTCCGGTGATATCAAAAGTAATGGAAAGAGTTGTGAACAATCACCTAACCAAGTACTTGGAAAAGTACAAAATTATCAACGATAAGCAATACGGATTTCGAAAATATAGGTCAACTGGCGATTTACTTACATACGTCACTCACTTATGGCAAAAAGCGATTGAGTTGCGGGGTGAAACAAGAACAATTGCCTTAGATATATCTAAGTTTGGCATGAAAATCTGCTCAACAAGCTCAAAGCAATGGGATTATCGCCGAAACTTTGCACTTGGTTTGAAAGTTACCTAAAGGACAGATTCATTTATGTTGCACTGGATGGCCAGAACTCCAACTTTTACCAAATAAATGCTGGTGTGCCACAGGGAGCAATCCTTTCGCCAACTCTTTTCCTGATTTACATAAATGACCTCATAGATAAAACAGTAAATCCACTTTATTGCTTTGCAGACGATGGCAATGTAGTCTCCTCACTCATACCACCCACAGGTCTTTCCGCACGTGAATTCCATCATCTTAGACTAACTCAAATATCGCAGATAAATAACGACCTGGAGATAATAGAGGACTGGGGTAACAAAAACCTTGTACAGTTCAACGCGCAGAAAACCCAAGCAGCTCTGTTTTCAAAAAAGACCAGCACCGGTGAGCCAAACATCATGCTATCTGGAAGTGCTGTCACATTACAGAGTCAGTTGAACATCTTGGGGGTTACTGCAGAGACCAACATGTCTTGGCACAGTCACGTGGCAGATATTGCTAAAAGGGCCTCCCAAAAGCTGGGGGTGCTATTTCGTTTAAGACATCTGTACACACCAAGCCAATTGCTGACACTCTACAAAGCCCAGATTCGACCAACTATGGAGTACTGCTCACATATATGGAGTGCAGCACCCAAACATACCTTAATGCTTTTAAATACCGTGCAAAAACGAGCTATCAAGCTGATCAATGACCCCGCACTTACTCGTAACTTGGATGGTCTCGAACATCGCAGATCTCTGGGCGATTTATCTCTCTTCTACAGGTACTATCACGGAAAATGCTCTGAAGAGTTGGCACGTATGATTCCACCGAGAGTAGCACCTACCAGGCGAACCCGTCAAACAGACGGTAACCATGAATTTACTGTCAAACTAGAGGCACCAAGAACCTCATTATATCAGAATTCATATCTCTGGAGAACAGCATCGCTGTGGAATAAACTCCCTGCGACGGTTTTCCCTGCAGGTTACAACCTGAACCGTTTCAAGACCAACATACACCGACATTTCCGCGCACTTGCCGCTTCTCGAGCGTGATAGGACATTTCCTTGCGAGTGCGCATATCCGTAAAAAAAAAAAAAAAAAAAAAAAAAAACTAGCTCTGACAGCACAAAGACTAGCACTAGACGGCCCGGCTTGTCGGGTCTACGAAGCCTGCACATTTCGAGTGAACTCAACGTCCAACGAATGGCGCTTTCATAATAGCCCATCATCTAGATTTAAATAATTAAAAACCCTTATATATTATTCCCTTCCCATTATATAAAAAAATAGATAAAAAACATACCTTCCAACAATCACATCCCTAAACGCCTAAGGATGCCATTTCCTCATCAGACGACAACATAATTGTCAAAAGGGCATATCTCCCTAATATCATCAATCAAGGCAAAAGCAAAATGGCGGAAAGGAAGGACAAAAATGGCCATATAATCCCTTGGAACCAACTCTCTATAAGTTACGAGAAAACAGATAATAGTATGGAAATGTGCAACCAAGAACCATGTGTTCCTTGGGCAGCAAAAGTAAGATAACTTACCAGTCACGTAGTCAAAATCCCTTACAAAAGGTTTGTGGATATCCAGAGAATTACACGTGCTATCAGCACAACTTCACGGTTTATCCAGTAAACCAAAGAACCAGATTCCACTGCAGCCAAAATCCCTTACAAAGGCGAATCCCTAGGACTCAAGTAGGCTTAGCAGCTTAGAACGACCATTCAGGCTGAGAGTTGGGACCGAAAAGACCGAGGAAAGAACGTGAAAGCATTGCCCTAATGACAAACCGCAATGTCATGCTAAGAGCCAGGGACGACTCGTCTCTCTGGGTCTGTTGCCAAATTTCACAATAATTTCCAGATAAAATCTTCAAGTCCAAAAACCCAATACGACTCTTTAAAATTCCAAATATTTTTTTAGCTTCCTCAACCATATTATACCTAACACAGAAAATTACAATTCTTGAACAAAACGGAGGAAAGTTTAGTGTTGCTATAGACAGATAGCAATAATCTTGTGAACTACGCCAATGTTTTTGATTAATTGGTGAATGCGATGAACCCTTTACTCCACAAGCACCTGCGCGACATCCCAAGACCGCTAAATAATCCTGGTGTTCTTTCGATCTGAATAAACTGATTGTGATTACATGAGGTTTGTTCATGAGGCGTCCAAAAAAACAGCTGGTGCCAATGAAATCGTTGTAAAAGCGGATGAAAATTGTTTGAAACAAACCTCAAGTGGCTTCGATCAGTTTGTTCAGATCGAAAGAATACTTTTGATGAAAACCTAAGTGTTGCAGAGGAATTATTTTCCCAATATTTTTAGGTCCAAATACAACGTTGTTCATTTCAAGAACCATTGTGTGGCAGTACCTGTACCGCTCTGCCATTGACGTCTATCCTGGAATTGGATGCGAATTATTCAACAAAGTGATCTGCTTTTTTCCTTTGACGAGACTGCAATCGAATTATTTTCCTTAACTAAAGCTGGAAAGGAAGAAGATGTGCCATTTTTCCCTATGGTCTTGGGGAAGGACGAAAAGAACCTTGGTCCACTCGGGCAGTTCAAAAGTCCATTACGCACTTGTTGGTTGTGTAATTTTTTAGCCTCGTTGGTTATACGTTTGTAATCATTTCTGGCAGCCGTAAAGGACGATTGAGTTTAATCGCATTGGTTTCTACGCCAGGATATGCGGTGCTTTTTTTTGCAACCGCTCGGACACTCTGCTTGTCAAACCATGGTCTTCCGGTATGGGATGTTTTATTGGAATAAGTGTGGACTCTCCTACCAACTGGGTTAGGCCGTGTGGAATGGAAAGGATTCAGCAATCTTTTTAGCCTGGGTTGTTTTGCTCGAAAACATTAAAATCTCCCAAGAATACGATCGGATGGGTTTCCTGGATAGAATCAAATGAATTAGCCAGATATATTTGAATATTTTAAACTTACCTAATAAATTTACTTATCCTAACCTAAATTTAATCGATTTGATTTTGATATTCAATAAATTTCTATCCAAATTAATTTTTGTTGCAACTTCTATTAGATTTTGATTTTTTTTCTGCCTTTAAATTTGGATTTTGCTCGTTAAATATTGTATTGTTTTATTTTTTTCATAATCTAGATGAAGTGAATGCTTTATTGGTAGGTAGGTATATTTCTTTATTTTGGGTTTAGTTAAATTGGGATCAACGTTTTATATTTATCTACGTGCATTTATGATTCATTCTTCTATAATTTAGTTTTTATTTCAACTCATAATGCACTCTGTATGGACTTGTCTAAATCTCTATTGTCTTTAGTAGCATCTAAAGAAACAGATTAAGAAAAACCCCATGATGAGGAACAAAATTTGCTGCAGGATATTTTTAGAGGTTCTCTGCCGAGTTTCAGTTTTTCCAACATAAGGTTTAAAATGGCTCGATCAGACTATGCTGCGGCCTATCTAAAGTCTTATTGAGGCTTAAAAAATATAAGTTTAAAAGTATCGTCCCAAAATTCTATTTTACTTATTCACTTCATGCAGCTTTAATGCAAGAAAAAATAATGAAATCAAAATTTAAATGTTAAAAACAATTTCTCTTCAAAATCTACTTGAAACTTTTTGGTATGCAAAATGTAGGTACGTACATATGTCATTAATTAACTCTTATTTTCAATTTTTGTTTTTTTCGTCCCAGACGCATACAAAGCGTTAACCCATAAATCTAATTCTATTGGATGGCCAGCGTTCAAACCGAAAAATTATTATTCCAAATCGGTAGAGCACGAAAGAATTCTGATTTTGTACTCTCTAATTTTTCAAAGTATACCACCACTCCATTTTTGGTAGGCCTTCAATATAAATAATTAGGTTTGAACATTTTCATCGTCATTCAATTCGGTAGTTAGAGAAAATAATATGGAGAGGCTAACGGTTTTTATTGTAGCAATTTTTGCAATTTGTTTGCAAAATGGTCTAGCACAAAAGGATTTCAGCTATTCAGATTTTAAAGACTTTTTACAGGTAAACTATTTTATTTTTGAACCATAATAAGTTCTTTATAAATTCTATTACAGATCGGTGGAGATGTTAAGATTATCGAAACATCCCATGCACGTTCCGGAAAAAACCTAGGAAAATCCTTCGAAGATGGCGTGAATGAGTTTTTGAAATCAAATGACTTATTGATGGAAGTACCTTTTGGACAAACCGTTACTTTCAGTGGCAGAAATTTGGATAATGGGGAAGTTGATTTTAAGCTACGTTTGGGCTCTGGAAACGCGGTTGAAGGTCGCAAGAAATCCAAAGTCAAGAAAGTTCTAGCTCCCATCCTGATAATTTTGCTTTTGAAAGCCATTACTTTAATCCCTCTCGCCCTTGGAATTTTGGGTATTAAAACATGGAATGCACTTCAATTATCATTTTTCTCCTTTGTTACTTCGGTTGTGTTAGCTGTTTGGAAAATTTGCTCGAAGGTAAATTATTTTTTAAACAAAATGTATTATTAAATAATAATTATTTCATATTTTCAGTTCTCTGACCACCACCATGCTCCACATGTCGTTCACGAATCGGTCCACATACCTCACGCCTATCATGACAGTCATCACGTAGTTCACCACGATCACCACGATCATGATCACCATGATCATCATATTGTTCATCATGAACATGATGATCACCATCACGATCCATGGGACCATCACTATCACAGGTCTGACGATAGCTCACAACAATTAGCCTATAACGGTTATGTACCTGAGAATAGAATGTAGATTACCTATTTGATTGTGAGAATCATGTATTTATTATATTTATGACAATAATTAATAAAATATTTGTACCTAATTGAAAAATATTTTTTTTGTTAAACATATGAACCAATGTGTAGAAGATGTCTATAACCTAACCCAAAAACATATACCTATATTTGGCGAGAATGAGAAAGCAAATGAAAGACCAGACATTCAAAATAAATATTGAAAGTGTAATATATTATGTACGAGAACATTTTTTATAATTCGCAGTTCGAAGTTAATATAATTATACATTCCAATTCAATTGTAAATAAATGAGTCTTTATGTGATCAGATTGTTTGCAATGACTATATTGTCTACATTTCAGAGCCAATAGGATTGGTTTTGAACATGGTAAGATGAAGTTAGTTTGTTTCGCATTGCTAAATTTTCAAAAGATCTCTGCTGCTTCTTACTGCTAGCTGCTCTTTCCTTCAATTCCTTCTGTATATCGATATTGGAGGTGTCAAGAGCTGATTTTATCATTTGAACATTTTTCTGAGCTTCTTTTCTCAGTGAAACTTATTTTTTTGATCTATTTTCTATAATAAATTTTTCTATCCTGAAATTTATAATGAGGTTCTGTGCTCCTAACGAAAAGGAAACAGAGTATAGTTTTAACATGATCAGCATACGTACCCCCGGTGTATTCATCTTCCGATAAACCTGCTGGTAACTGTCTACAAGACAAATATATGAAACTGGTATTCGGCCGACCAATAAGAATATAGAATACCGTTTTTAACCCTCAGATTGCATTACCTGATGGCTTATCAGAACGTGAATAATAGAATAATAATAATAATGTTTGTTTATAATAAAAGTGTATACACAACTCACATAGGAATTTTCCTTGATAACTAATAACTGCAAAAATAGGTTTCAGGCACCAACAATAATCAACAATATTGATACCTATTAATAACAACAATAATATAATCTAGTCACAACAATTTGGTAGACACAATGAGAAAGATCAGTGAATGTATGCATATCCCAAACAAGAACACCAGAGAAAATGAGAGTTGGAAGAATTAAGTAAAATCACACAGAGGCCCATCGGATATCATTATCCCATTATTCAATCGCTCAATATTTTTTTTTAACTTTGTGATAAGGTGCATTTTTCAGATCAGGTGACAATAAGTTATATATTTTGGGAACTGAGTACAGGAGACTATTCCGACACTTAGTGAGTTTGAAATAAGGCGTGACTGCGCAACTATTGAGTAATTGCCTTGTAAAGATACTATGCGAGGTAATGTGCAAATGTTTCCTATTCTTGAATAAGAACCTAATCACTGACTTTATATATATTTTGTTAACTTGCAGAACCTTCGTATCAATATACCGGGTGACCACGAGATTACTGACCAAGCTCTAGTTCAGGCATGAATATCAAAATCGATTTCAAGTTTTGAGGATGTATATTATTGATATCGATGCAGAATTTCGCTATAAAAACAATCGACTATCGCTTCTGGTTTGACCGCAAGTGCCATCAACTTCTTTATTTCAACTAGATCACCCCCTATATTTTTACATTTTTGGATTCTATGAGAAATTCTAAGCATATTTTATGTATAATATCCTATACCTAACTTAAACAGTTTTCAAGAAAATCGCGATTGAAAATGTCAAAAAATAATTTCTATTTTAGTTTTGATAGCAAACAATGGATAGTAGGTTGGAACTTTTACGATATTTTTGACTCATTTTAGAAGCACTAAAGGGTCCCACCACAAAAATATCAGTTCCGGTTCAATCGAAGGTTTTCGGTCGGTCTACTTTTGAGGTTATGTTACTGCAATAATTTCAATGGTATCCCATACTTAGAACTGAAAATTCGTATTCTAGGAACAATTTTGAATCTTTTTTGTCTACTGTTTTTGAGATATTTTACACTTGATGTAAGGATGTCTTTGGAACAACGAATACCAAAAACAGTATTAACAGCATTAATTTTAATCCTTTTTATAAGTGTATTTAAATAGATCACACAGAATGCAGTCAAATATCTCAAAAACAGTAGACTTTAGGTATAGGAAAGCGTACACAAAAAAGATTCAAAATTGTTCTTAGAATACGAATTTTTAGTTCTAAGTATGGTATACCATTGAAATTATTGCAGTAACATAACCTCAAAAGTAGATCGACCGAAAACCTTCGATTGAACCGGAAGTTTTATTTTTGTTGTGGGACCCTTTAGTGCTTCTAAAATGAGTTAAAAATATCGTAAAAGCTTCAACCTTCTTTCCATTGTTTGCTGTCAAAACTAAAATAAAAATTATTTTTTGACATTTTCAATCGCGATTTTCTTGAAAACTCTTAAAGTTAGGTATAGGATATTATACATAAAATATGCTTAGAAAGAAAAATGTAATAATATAGGGGGTGATCTAGTTGAAATAAAGAAGTTGATGGCACTTGCGGTCAAACCAAAAGCGATAGTCGATTGTTTTTATAGCGAAATTCTGCATCGATATCAATAATATACATCCTCAAAACTTAAAATCGATATTGATATTCATGCCTGAACTAGAGCTTGGTCAGTAATCTCGTGGTCACCCGGTATAGCTGCTTAGAAGGGAACATTCTAGTTTTATTTAGCATTACTTTTAGAATATATTTTTGAGTAATATCTAGTGGTAAGATAGTAGTTTTATATGATCCACCCCAAACCGTGTTACAATAAGAGATAATCGATTCTATTAGGGAGAAGTAGACAATTTTTAGCATCTCAAAACTCATAAATGCCTGAGCTGATAGAACTTGAAAATAAGTTTACGTATTTTATTACAGACATACTGACTATGCGTATCCCATCTAAGATATCTATCAATCAAGACTACAAGATATTTGATTTCATTTACTCCTTTGATTCTGATATTACACTGACAGTTTTTAAAGCTACACGAATGCTGGTGAATGATAATCTCATCTAGGATTGTCCCATTGAATTTAGTGACTGAAAAATTTATAAAATTGACTTGTTGGCATTTAAAGTGAGAAAGTTTTTGTCAAACCAAGCCTTAATACTCTTCAATGAACCTTCAGCATTTCGTCTAACTTCAGCCCAGTCCTTACCTTTGACTACGACTGCAGTGTCATTCGCAAAACACACCACGTCACCCTGTTCTGGAGGCAAAAGACTCAACAGTTCATTGACATATATAGAAAATAAGACCGGACCTAGCACCGAACCTTGTGGAACACCGAAATCCACCTTTTTGTTCAAACCGACAACATTTTTAATTTTAACACTTTGCGTTCTATTCCAGATATGACCGAAATAACTGAAGTACAATTCCTCTAATGTTGTTTAATAACATTCGGTGTGTCACAGTGTCAAACGCCTTGGTCAGGTCCAGGAATACTCCCATGCATCGCTCATTCTCAATAAAGAACTGATAGATCAAATCCGTTACACAAACGACAGCATCTTCAGTACTAACAATTTGCCGAAACCCAAACTGTCGATGCGATATAATTTTATTTTTTGTTAAAAAACTTTCAAGTTCAAGTCTCAATTTAATGCATTTTTCAATGAGCTTTGAAACGTTGCTCGTTAATGCTATTGGCCTGTAGTTCCTAACTATTTTCCTATCACCAGCCTTGTAAATTAGAGTAACGATCGCATGTTTGAAACATTTCGGAAATTGCCCAGTCTCAAAAATTAGATTTATAAGATAAATAACTGGTTCAGTCAGATAGTTATGAAAATCTTTTAAAATTTTTACCGGGATTCCGTCCTGCCCAGGGGCAGCAATATTTTTTAGATAATTTATTTCGATAATCGGTTCATTTTCAGAAATTGGTTTTAGGAAAAGCGTTTTACTTCCATTTACCTTTTCCACATTAAATTGTACGTCAGGTAATTTAATTTTATCAGCCAATGTTTTCCCTATCTCAGAAAAATATTTATTAAAAACCTCTACCATCTCTAACTCTGTACTGATTTCCCCATTTTACTCATCCATCACTGACTGGACATTGTTATGCCCTTTAGATTCTTCGTTTGTAGCTTCTCTGATATATTTCCAAGTGTCCTTAGCATTATTTTTTGATAGATTCAGCTTCAACGCATATTAGTTATTTTTAGTGGTTTTTATAAGAGTAGGTACCTAGCCTATTACTATATTCTCTGAACTCATTGTATGCTTCCACCGTTCCTAATACAACACTGACCCTTTTCAACCTGTCCCTTTCCCTAATAGATTTAATTAGGCCCCTAGTGGTAATCCGGGCTTTAGCCTCCTATCTTTGCTTTTGACATATTTTGATTCAGTAGCAGAGGCAGTATGATTTTTAATTGTTTCGATAAATGCCTTTGCACAGACATCAACATCAGTAGAAGACAAAACATTCTCCCATCTCTCATCTCTGAGTAAGTAGGTGCTTTAACTTTAAAAAAATCGTTTTCACATTTTTTTGTTTTTTTTATGGATATGCGCACTCGCAAGGAAATGTCCTATCACGCTCGAGAAGCGGCAAGTGCGCGGAAATGTCGGTGTATGTTGGTCTTGAAACGGTTCAGGTTGTAACCTGCAGGAAAAACCGTCGCAGGGAGTTTATTCCACAGCGATGCTGTTCTCCAGAGATATGAATTCTGATATAATGAGGTTCACACAATGTATGTGTTTTGAGGTTTACTATGTATCCTATTTAACAAAATACTAGATGTAATTGGGTAATGGTCTGAGATACCACTATACAGTATTTTTGACTCTTTAGTAAAAGACTGAGCTATATCTCTGATAAAAATATGATTTAGACATGAGGGCATTTGCCCCTGTCTGACCCTAGTAGGTTTGTTCACTGCACAGCAGTAACCTTTCCCCAGCAAACAATTCCGATTTTCTGTAACCACCAAGCAATGAACTAAACAAACAAACTGGAAAAGCCGCTGCATAATTGTTTCTACGCGGGGGTTTGTGCCAGGAAGGACAACAAACAAGAGGGATTTGCATCTCTCCCTGTACTATGGCGGCTATTGAGAACAGCTGTTTGAAGTGTTTGGATCATTGAAGTTAGGAAGATGAAGAAGCTCTTTTTCCGTTTACATCAACCGAGTGTGAGCGAGACAATAATCCCTCCGTATTGCTGGGTTGCATACATCAAAATTTGGCACACCAGCATAAAGCAGTGCGCCCGTTCCAGAGTGTTCAGTTCAATGCCACCAAGGTATCCTCAGAAAAAGAATTAATATTTATATCTCTCAAAAACAATTCCAATTCTTGTTTTTTATCCATTTTTACAGAAAACAGCTCATCCAAATGCATCAAGAAGTCTTCCACACTCAGAGATGGAAGCCTATAATATCCAACTATACCAATTGTTGTGCTATTTTTACTTAACATAATTCTAGCAAAATGTGTTGTGCCTATAGTTATAATTTTGCTATCCCTAATCAAATTACTCCTAATATACAATATAAAACCGTCACACTTATTCTGTACACTGCCATTAAGAAAAGAGTCATAGCCTTGAAGTCGAACTTGAATGAACTTAGAAATACCATGAAATTGTCAAAGTTTTTCTTGATGCTACAGATATTAACGTGTGATATATTAAGGTTGTTAACCGAATAATTAATATTTGCGAATAAACTGGGCATTAGTGTTATTTCCATTATTCAGAACAAAATTTAGAACATGATAATTTATGAATGCATATTAAAAGACGTAAGGTCTACTAGAAAGCAGAACTTTTGCATTAGGCATTCTGCTGATCCATCCAACACTGTTAGTTCTGCCACTTCTCTCGAAATTCACTGATTTCGTATCATCCGTCATTCTTCACGAACGGCGTAAAATCCAATGCACTATAAGTGCGTCATAAAAACAAAAAAATTTTTTTGGTAAATTAGACCAAAACTGGATTTTTGCCATGCATATAATAAGCAGGAAAATCAAACTACAGTACTTCGAGTAAATATATTTAATAAACTTAGCAGAGCGCTTTCGGCGTCCCGGCCATCCTCAGTGCTAACTGAAAAGAGAGAACAACATCAAAGAGGAAGTGCCTCCGATAGTGTTGAGACCCATCAACCAGTACAAAGAACTCTGTCTCTATGCAGCTAGACAGATAATAAACATCAAGAAAGTCTTCGCTATCAATGAAGGGTTACAGGAGCACAGTGCATCAACTGGAGGACAAGAAAGCTCCACCTACCAAGAACAGAACAGGCTGATGGGACAAATGCCAGTTTTAAGGGCACCACAGATTTAATTGTAAAGTTCCTTCCAAATGCGCGAATTGCACGGGCAACCACAGGTAGAGAGGCTGCGCCTCTAATCCCGTAACAAACAACCCGTTCTGGATGTCCATGATCCAGTAACACTTTCCTCTATATTGTAAGAAAAGTATATAAATTCTCTTTTTTTGCAAATCGAACGATATAATAGTTGTAGATATATATCGTTATAAATTATATAATAATTTAAAAAAATTGTTTGCAAAGCATAAGTAAACAAAATAGTTTATAAATATTTTAAGCAATTAAAAACATTGTTGGAAAAATAGGTTTAAAAATAGATAGGTAACAAAAATACCTACACCTAGGTACTTTAACCTGAAATCCCAAGTGTTTAAATTTTATACCTTATTCAATGGCTTGCACGTGTTTGTACGGTTAAGTGAAGCAAATTGATAAAATAAATTGGGTCTGAAATAGATAGAGGTTGAACTGCAGAACCCCAAGCACACGGCCTGCCAAAATTACATCTACTGTGTGGGTCCAAAGATTTACAATGACTCACCTGATAATTTTAAACAAAACAAAATATTAAAAAATTAAGAAATAAGAATTAAGAGATAGTGGATAAAGGATTAATTATGTGATATAAAAAGTACAAACCAACAATTACTGGTAAATTTGAAGATAGGAAGAAATTTATTGTATTAAGAAATTATATCTGAATTGTTGAAATTGTTATTTATTAAATTGTATCAAAAACTAAAACATTAAATAAATGTACAAACCTCAAAATAGTTTAAATAAATTAAGTTTAATGGGTGCACACACAGTATTTAGTATTTTAAATACCATTGAGCATCTAAATACTGTTAGCAGTAATTAGGGAATTGTATTAGGATTGGTACTAATAGGTATCGCATTAAATTTTTAAATTGAATTAAATTGGCATATTTTCAGAAATCTTATGTCTTAGATTTATATATCATAAATTATAACTATTATAAATATTGCTTACAAATAAATAAATAAATAAATATTTCCAATTTTTCTTAATATCAAATTAAACGTGCACAAGCCAAGTTTTATTCATTTCATGACCTAAATATTTTGTTACTTCAAAAATACCCTATAGTTTTAACAAAAAAGTAATGGCCAAAAAATGTCCCCTACACACAGAGGAAAATAATCACATTGGCAATTTACTTGCTGTTCAAAATTCTAAGAGTCTGAATTTTGAATTTAAGTCTGAAATTTAAATTTTATAAATTCCAAAGAGCGACAAACTAGAAATCAAGAACCATATAAATTCAATATACGTTCGTCCATAAAATTTCGATGAATTATTAGGTACAACGAAATTACGCATCTTTCTTACAAAATCATATACATACCTACACCACCAACCTCAATTATTTTAAATTCAACATAGGAACATCTTTAAAAAGCGAATAGTTTTACCAGAACTGAATACTAACTACTACCGGATCTGTTTAGCGGAACCAAACCATTTTTGTTTACCACCTAATCAATATACAAATCAGCGAAATGTAAAGTGACCCGGTATGATTGTCGTATAAAACTGCACCCACTCTATTAAAAATTATTCATTGATCAGTTTTCTGTCAAACTGTAAAGAACTAAAAAAAAATACAATGTGGAAATTGACTTGTGCAATTTTGGTAGTTATAGCCGCTGTAGGAGCAGAAAAGATTACCCCACGAACAGGGGATGATCTTGTTTCTTCGGTTATGAATACGTGCAGTGATATGGGGTGCGTAAAAGAACACGTTTTGGAGTATTTGGATAATGTGTTGGGAATTCAAAGTGAAGCTAGAAGTCTTCAGGTAAACAGTTTACCTTCGATATTATTTTATGAAACAGTTTCTATTGGATTATTTTAGAACATTGACAACGCAATCTACAAACGTGCTGCAAGAGTGCTGGAAACTCAAGAGTTCAGAGTCAAAGTACCTCAAGCCATTGCTGAAAATACCGAAATTGTTTACAACCCCAAAAGCGGTTTGGATATTGCTACTGATGAAAATGAATGTAAGATTTTTCTTTCCAAAAACGTAATACACTTTCTATGAAAAACACATTTTTACAGCCAGAGGTATCTTGAAAAAGAAGCTTTTGCTCCCATTCTTGATCCTCTTCAAATTGAAGACCAAACTCTTGATGCCAATTTTTGTATTCCTTGCCAGTTTGAAGGCTTTCAAGGCTCTTATTTTGTCTAAATTGGCCATTGTTTTGGTACTTGGATTTATTATTTATCAACTATGTGCCAAATCAGGTAATTCACAATGTTTTTAAAATTGCCAAAAATATATAAAAATATTTTTATTCAGGTATGCCAATGCCAATGATGACAATGGCCCCAGCTGAGCCCCCAGCATCATTATATGGTGCCCCAGCACCAGGTCCCTCTACAGCTCCACCAAGTTCGTACGAACCCGGTTGGGAACCCAACACTGGAGGACCATATGCCAGAGTTTGGACGGCTCCATCCAATAACGAAGCTCAGAACTTAGCTTACTCAGCTTACTATCCGGGATCGTCTGGTTCTTCTTCTGCATCTACTAGTCGTCCTTAAGATGCAATTTTGACTGATGAAGTGTTAATTTATTTATTTATGGTTTTTGTTAATTTTATGTTTGTTGATGCAATAAAAGAATTTCAAATATTGGTAGGGTTTATTTGAAGTTGGAATTAGCTGGAAATTTCTACAGCATGGAAATGGAAAGAAACAGTATAATGTTGAAAATGCAAAATGCAAAAACTAGAATAGCGAAAGAATAAATATTAATGTCGAACAAAAAATGGCTGAATGCTGGATATCTGGTATTCTAGACTACTACATTCTTATGTGTCCTAATTTTAAAGGTTAAAGTAAGTAGTTCTTTAATAAATTTCTCTATGTTTGAGGTGGATTTATAATAATACCTTGCATTTTTTGGGACTGACACCTAAACGGAAATTTTCACCAGAAGTTTCTTGATCTGAGAATCTTGAGAATTCAACACCCTCATTGAGCTACGTAGAAAAATAGATAGAGAATCTCCAACATATGAGGGGCTAAATAAAAGAGTCAAGAAAGAAATCAGCCAAGACCTTAAAAGATACCACACTTGACAAATTGAAAAATTGATCGAAAATAACATGAACATGAAGATGCTTAAATCTAGAAGAAACAGAGGAAAACTCCTAATCCAGAAATTGAGCAATGGCCAAGGAAATCTTGTATATGAAAGAAACGAGATCGCTAAAGTAATGCAGGCTTTCTATCAAGACTTATATAATCAAACTATACAACCACCAATAGCCGACATAAGAAGACACACACCCCGTCATAAATGGTGGATCCGAAGAAATACTTGAAATATGTACAAATGAGTTAAGAACCGCAATAGGACAGCTGAAGAACGGAAAAGCTCCAGGAGAGGATGGAGTTACGAGCGAGATGCTTAAAATCGGAAGGAAGACACGTTGGAAAAAGCCATCCTTATTATACTTGTTGAGTTTGCTATTAATTTGATTAGGAAACTCAAATATAAATAAAAGACACAAATCTACGTGAAATTTCTATTTATTACTGAAAACCCAAAACCGACCTGCAAGCATGCAAGTCGTCGAACAACCCAGGACCACTTTAATATAAACAACTTTTTATGGTTCTGTGTGTATGTTGACACTCAGTAATTGTTTATAATAATCATCAAATATAATATTTAAATATATACATACATAACACCTCCTCCCTTAATGAAAAATAATTAATCAATTTACCATGCTACATACCTATATTAAATCTATCAGGGCGTTGTAACTTACTACGCCGTCTTAATCTACTTTCAATTATTAGTTCGTTGTTATCTACAACCACTGGTTCATTATTTATTTCACGCTCGGAATCACTACTTATTTTGCTATCGGAATCACTACTTATTTTACTATCAGGATTTTCTACAATATCCTCTGCCTCTACATTTATATTTTCATTTTCCTGTAATTTTGATAGGGGAATCATAGAAACGTCATTCTTATTTAATTGATTATTACTGGAATTTATTCTCAGCTGATTGATATGTCGTTTCCATTGTTTTCCATCATCAGTTTGAATTAAGTAGGTTCTTTTGCCAAGAACGTTACTTATATACCCACTACACCACCTCGGTTGATCAGCCCTAAAATCGCGAGCCCACATTTTATCATTTTCCTTAAATGAAATATTATTCCTTGTTTGATAATATTCCATTTGATAAGTTTGTTTTTTATGAACAGCCCTTGTGGTAGAAGGCAACATTGAATCAAATTTTGTTCTTATATTGCGATTAAAAAATAATTTGGAGGGTTTTTCACCCGTAGTGGTGTGCGGCGTATTACGATACATAAACAGAAAACGGTTTATAATCAACTGAACGTCATTCCGAGGATCTTCATGTCGGGCTTTCAAAATCACCTTTTTCATAATTTTGACAGCGCTTTCTCCTAGCCCATTTGTAGCTGGGTAATATGGAGTACCTGTGAGATGTTTAACGCCACTGTTTGACAAAAAAGTCTGAAATTCATCAGATACAAAAGTTTTCGCATTATCGGTACAAATTTCAAAAGGTAATTCAAATCTTGCAAAAAGCTCACGAAAAATCTTTATTGTGGTAGTGGCTGTTATATTAATGACTTCAAAACATTCAATCTACTTCGAAGTAGCATCTTGAATGACTAGAAAATTTTTGTTAAATAACGGCCCAAAAAAATCGGCATGCAACCTAGTCCAAGGCTCTTTTGGCCAATCCCACACGGCCAAAGATGTTTTGGGAGGATTATCAGCATAGACAGTACATGCATTGCAATTTTTTGTTAATTCCTCAATGTGAGAATCAATCGACGGCCACCAAAAATATGGCCTGGCTAATGACTTCACTTTAACTACTCCCAAGTGTGTACTATGCAATTCCACCAAAAGGGTTTGCTGAAAATATTTTGGAACAAGCAAACGATAACCCCACATGAGACAGTTCTGTTCAACAGTGAGTTCTGTTTTTTTGAAGAAAAATGATTTGAATTCCTCAGCTGGACATACACAAGGCCATCCATTTTGTACATAAAATAAAATTTTACTGAGTATAGGATCTTTAAATGTATATTTTTTTATTTCTTCAAACTTTATAGGAAATTTTCGTTCATTTAAATAATGTAAATAAGAAATATTTGTGTTTATTTTAAAATATAGAAAATCATTTTGTTCGACATTCAAAGAATTTGGAAGCCTTGACAAACAATCGGCAACATTTTTTTCTGAGCTCACATATTTTATTTCATAGTCAAAACTAGACAATATGTGAGCCCATCATCTTTGCAATCGATTTGCCGCAAAAATTGGTATACCTTTTTTATCTCCAAAAATAGATAAAAGAGGTTTATGATCCGTGACCAAAACGAACCTTTTATGGCACAAATATTGGAAAAATTTCTTCACGCCAAAAACAATAATTGCTGCCGCCTCCTTGTCTATTTGAGAATATGAAAGTTCGGCATTATTTAACAGGCGAGATGCAAACGCAATTGGTCCTTCTAGTATAGGAGCTGGCAGGTTTTTCGGTGAACGATATTGATCAAAATTTTTATTAATTAATCATGATTGCGGGTTACCTGGACATACCAAAACTGACCGTCTGCCGTTTCAGGGTGGCAGCTTTAATCGGGGGTTAAATTTTAAAAAGGGATGAATTTTCATTTTGGTGAACGATATTGATCAAGATCGAAATTTTTGGAAACGAGTTAACAGTTCGAGGACTTATCAAAATTATACAGGCAGACGATTTATTTGACAGCATTACTTCGGCAGACGCCTGTCAAATTTGTAATTTTCAACTTTTAGTGAACGATATTTATCAACATTTTTTTTTTTGCAAGTCGATTCCTTCACTAACGTACTCTCAGAAAAATTAGCGGCAGACGAAAAAGACGGCAGCGTTTTTTTGGCAGACGTTGGAATAATGACAAGTTGATTTATGGTATACAATACTGATAATAGCTGATATTCATGAAAGTGTTAGAGCAGCTCTAGTGTATTCAAAATTCAAATAGGCAGAAGATTTATTTGACAGCACAATTTTGGCAGACACTATCAAATTTTGTCATATACAGGGTGTCCCAGCCGAGAGTGACCCATTTGAAATGCTTATAACTTCTAAACTAGTTGTGCTAGCGACCTGCGGTTTGCGCCATTCGACTTCTCCTGGCCTAAAGTTTTTTCAGTAGGTTCCAAATTTTGTTGCCTTTCATACAGGGCGAGTTAAAAAAATCCGTTCTTCAACATCGAAATTCTCCACTATCTTTAATGGAACACCCTGTATATCACGTCACGTCAAAAAAAAAGAGTCATGCTAAACGTATCCATATACAAATAAGCATCATCCTTGAAACTTAAAGTTTTAGCTGTGAAAAATTGAAATCTAAATCCTGGTATTTTAGCTAGTGGTGCCGCGAGACGAGACTAGACGAGACTTAGGGTTGGTCTCGTCTCGTCTCGACATTTCGAGACAAGACCGTGACTTAGTCTCGGTCTCGAGTACCAAAGTCTCGTCTCGTCTCGAGTGGTCTTGTCTGGTCTCGAGTTATACAGGGTGTCCATAAAATAACATACAAACTCTTCTCTACGTGGTGGAGGACCCTACAAGGAATCCCAGAACAATACTTTAAAAAATCTAGTGGCATTCTTAAGAAAGTTATTTGCATTTTAATATTTATTGAAATTGGCAACACTGAAAATATTCCGTTGACAATATGTCACAGAATTAAATTAAATATCCATGTAGTTAGGTACCTGAAGAATTCGAAGGTGAATTTTCACATCTACCTCTTCATATTACCAAGAATAATGCTGGAGAAGGATTTTTTTTAATTTAATTATTTTTCTAGGGTTTCTCAAAGGGTCCTCTATTACGTGGAGAGTTTTTACGCTATTTTTCGGACACGCTGTATTTATGGTTTTTATTTTTATATTATAACGGAAGTCCAAACTGCCACAGTGAAAAAGCAATTAGCGAAAAATCACAGTAAAGAGTAACCCTGATATTTAATTTACTGATTTCATATTCAAATAGCCCAGAATAGTCCAATAATAAAGCTATGAAAGAAAAAATTTAAGTGTAATCTCGAGACTCGAGACTACACGAGACTCTCGCCAAGTCTGGTCTCGTCTCGTCGAGACTTCACGAGACCAGACCAAAAAGCAGTCTCGTCTCGAAAAGTCGAGATGAGACGAGACGAGACGAGACTAGTCTCGAGTCTCGCGGCATCACTAATTTTAGCAAAAGCATGGCAGCTTCATGTTGTAGGTATGTACATACTTGCTATCACTATGGCAAACAATTATGAAATATGTGTGTAGTTGGACATCAACTGAGTTAAAATAAATTTTCCACGAGAACTTAACAAGTTCCAGTGAGAATAGCGAGATACCCCAAAAGTAAAAGTTTGGCGTAGAATCTCTGTTGAAGAAAAATACGGATCATTTTTTATTAATGAACTAACGATAACAGGAACTGAATAGGTACCTACATACACTGATATGTTGAAAAATTTCTTTTATCCACAATCAAGACAGGAGGGTACCTATTACCTCATTATTCTTTAATAGCAAGGAAATCACGAGATATGACATTTGGGAAAAAATGGATAGAGAGAGCTGGTCCTATGGAATGGACACCTAACTATCCTGACTTGACAGTTCCAGACTTTTTTCTCTGGAATTATGTCAAGGAGTGTTGCGATGTAATTATTTTAATAATTAATTAGCCAGGTAAAGGTATGGTAGGATATTTCATGTCATACTATACTTTTGTCAA